CTTCCACAGCACACTGGCCAAAGTGATCCCTGAGTAGCGCAACTTAGTTCTTCCACAGCACACTGGCCAAAGTGATCCCTGAGTAGCGCAACTTAGCTCTTCCACAGCACACTGGCCAAAGTGATCCCTGAGTAGCGCAACTTAGTTCTTCCACAGCACACTGGCCAAAGTGATCCCTGAGTAGCGCAACTTAGCTCTTCCACAGCACACTGGCCAAAGTGATCCCTGAGTAGCGCAACTTAGCTCTTCCACAGCACACTGGCCAAAGTGATCCCTGAGTAGCGCAACGTAGCTCTTCCACAGCACATTTACCGAAGTGATCCCAGGATAGTTGTAGAGTTGTAATGTACTTATCAAGCCGTTTGTATCCGTTTGTTTTTTTTCGGTGGCGGCTGTTGCCGTTGGCGCGGGCGAAGCTGCTGGCAGAGCACTTCACAACTTGCGTGTGGATGCTCAGATTTTTCCCCACCCGTAGGACTGTGGGGTTGTTAGATTTTTGGAGCGGTTTGGACTTCAGCACGCCCGGTAGCCCAACTTAGCAATTCCACAGCACACTGGCCAAAGTGGTCCCTGAGTAGCGCAACTTAGCTCTTCCATAGCACATTGGCCAAAGTGGCACAGCACACTCACCAAAGTGGTCCCTGAGTAGCCCAAAGTAGCTCTTCCACAGCACACTGGCCAAAGTGGTCCCTGAGTAGCCCAACTTAGCTCTTCCATAGCACACTCACCAAAGTGGTCCCTGAGTAGCCCAACTTAGATCTTCCATAGCACACTGGCCAAAGAGGTCCCTGACTAGCGCAACTTAGCTTTTCCACAGCACACTGGCCAAAGTGGTCCCTGAGTAGCGCAACTTAGCTCTTCCACAGCATACTGGCCAAAGTGGTCCCTGAATAGCCCAACTTAGATCTTCCACAGCACACTGGCCAAAGTGGTCCCTAAGTAGCGCAACTTAGCTCTTCCACAGCACACTGGCCAAAGAGGTCCCTGACCAGCGCAACTTAGCTTTTCCACAGCGCACTGGCCAAAGTGGTCCCTGAGTAGCCCAACTTAGCTCTTCCACAGCACACTCACCAAAGTGGTCCCTGAGTAGCCCTCTTCCACAGCACACTGGCCAAAGTGGTCCCTGAGTAGCGCAACTTAGCTCTTCCACAGCACACTGGCCAAAGTG